GGTTGGAAGGGACCTTCAAGATCATCTTGTCCAACCGTCAACCTGACTGACAAAAATAGACACCCACACAACAAACAAGGAGCATCATCACTAAACCAGACCTCCCAGCACTACATCAACCCGTCTTTTGAACACCTCCAGGGATGGGGCCTCAACCCCCTCCCTGGGCAGCCCATTCCAATGCCTGAGAACCCTTTCAGGGAAAAAATTTTTCCTAATATCCAGCCTGAACCTCCCCTGGTGCAACTTGAGGCCATTTCCTCTTGTCCTGTCGCCTGTGACTTGAGAAAAGAGACCGACCCCCATCTCTCTACACCCTCCTTTCAGGTAGTTCCTCTTTACTCAGTGTGCTCAGAAAGGCACTGTCTTGGCAGAAATAAAGTTAAGAGGAAAGGGGGAATGAACTGCAAAAAAGAGAACAATTTGGGAGAGTCTGTTATGCTGGAGATGATATTATCCAGAGTCACTGCTGATGAACGGAGATGCTCCATCCCACCACAAACCCCTCCGAGCTCCAACATACCCACAGAACGTTGGCTTTGCAGCTGCCACTAAAAGACCTGAGCCCAAAATAACAGCAGCCCAGCCCCAAAGAGTAAAGACTAATTAGGTATTTCAGAGAGGTTCACATGTAGAAGCCAGGGATGGGCATGATCTGGTAAGTTCAGGTTTATTTGTGTTTGGAACAGATCCTCCTCTTCATCCCCTGCTTACTCCTAAAACACATGCTGATACACCCACAGGACACCCCAGCTCTGTCAAATTACCTCTGAGAAAAGCATCCTGGTGGACCAAAGAGTTTATCAAGATTTGCTTCCGTCCTACACGGATTGCTTTAGTCAGCAATAAAAGCAGGGACAGGAATTTGGAGAACTGGCATCAGCAGTTTGCTGGTTTTTACCGCCGCGCAATCCTGGTTATTTTCTAGCTCCTTGGAAACATGGCATAAAAAAAGCAGCAAAGATTCACAGATTTCTTCCCCTCTCCCGGCGACAAGAGCTGGGTATTAGCTCACTGTCAATCACCAGCATCACTTTGTTTGTGCTATTATAGCAGACAGAATAATTATTCTATCAGCCAGAGCTCTTTTAAGACAATCATCTACAAGATCGGCCTGGGGGGGGGAAAAAAATGATGAAGTCCTTATTGCTCCTGTAACTAGGAAGTGCTTTTTGCAAGTAGAGCTCCCCTTAGGAGTCCAGAGACAGCTCCGTAGGGAGAATTCAGAAGGAAAAAGTGAAATCCTGCCACGGCCAGATCCAAAACTCACAGCTTTCGGGGCTATTGGCACTCTCATGTCAGCAGCTGCTGCTCTTTGAGCCACTAAGAGGGGGCAGGCTGCCTCCAGCTTAGCATCCTCCTTCCAGTTGCTAAACAAAAGAAATCAAGCTATTTTTCAAGTGACAGAGCGTTGTTACTCCCAGCACACACTGAGTATCTCTCTGTCCCTCAGAGGGCTGACTCTCTCCAAAAAAAAAAAACCAAACAAACCCCTAAGACTGAATGCCAGAACCAGCAGGCGAGTTACAAGTGTTTACAAGAGCTTTTTTGCTAGATGGCCATTAGCATTTCCTAAATAAAAAGTAAACTTCCTCAGTGGACACAAAGTCAACCCTTTTTTGGGGGAATAAAAACCAAATCCATCCCGAGAGCCGCAGCACTGGGAGGCTTTTATCACCATTCACAGGACTGGGAATGCAGGCGACGGGGAACCCTAAGCTGTCAATCCCCTGCCCGTTGTGTGACACCACAGCTTTTCTTCCCAAACAAATCCAGAATTCCAGAGGGGAGACTAATCACCCAACAGTAGCTAATGAGGCTAGCGAGAGACCCTGCAGCTCCAGAGGGGAGTCATTTACCACCCTCCCCGGAAAGCCTTGCCAAGAATGAAGCAAGAAAACAGCAGTTTGGGTTTGTTTGGTTTTTTTTTTTCTTCACCGGGCTGCAGTGAAAATGAAACGTGATTTCATTTTCATCCCCCCCACACCCCCAAATTTACTTACTGCTGCTCGCTGCTTATCACACATCGAGAGTTTTCCTCCCAGGAGCAGTACTGCTAGAATTAGCTCGAAATTAGCATTAGCCACACTTCTCAAATTGGCAGCCAACAGCAGGGTTAGCTTTTGTTTCAGTCTAGACCCAGAGGCCCCGTCTCCTCGCAAACAAACCATCCGGAAGATGAATTGACAAGTAGCAAATTTTTAAAAAATGAGTAGTAAAGAAAAGAAAAAAAATTAAATAACACACCAAAATGAAGAAATGCTTCTTCAAAAGGCACACGGGCAATCAGTGGAGCTTCTCCTCACACTGAAAGCACGTGGAGATTTCAAAAGCAGTAGGTTAAATTAAGCAGAAGCAACAAAAAAAATAAAAAAACACCCCAAAAAAAAAAAAGCCTCATCAGAAGCTATTAATGCTGAACTATCACTTCTGCTTCAGGAAGCCTTAAAATTGTGAAAGACAAAGCACTCGGTGGGGAAAGTCTCATGGCTTGTTTACTCTCTTCTTTCATTTTTCCCTAAGTATCCTTGAACACACAATAGGGAGCTGGACAATTTCTGCTGTCACCCAGTAGGGTTTGGTCTCATCCAAGAGCAGAAGAGATCCATGGTATGATGGATGACACAAATGGCAAACTCTGACATCGTGGTACAGCAGAATCATTAAAGAAAAAAAAAAAAGGACTTAAAAAAGCAGCAAATCCCTACAAATGAATCAGCTTCCTCCTGTGAAGGGTTTCACCCCCCAGTTGGGAGTTTCTGGGCAGAGAAAGAATGACAGATCAAGGACCCAATGATACTTCTGCTCCGTGGCCAGACAACCAGGGTATCAGCTATTTAGTGTCTTTCTACAAAAAAGAAAAAGATCTGAAGTTTGATTTTATTCTGATGGGGAATTATTTATTCTCATTCTGGACTGGAATCCCAGGAAATGTTCCTGAAATGTTCCAGGAACGCAGCTCCAAACCACAACTAGGCTAAAGTAAGGGGAATTCACACCAAAATACAGCATCAAGGACAGGTGCTGCACTTCCCAGCATGTCTGTGCCCAGAAATAAAAAGATCCCTTAGAGTAAAACCTGTCAGAGTATAGAACTAGCTCCTGGGGCTTGGCAAAAATAAACTAAAGCGAAATAAAATACTACTGAACATGAAATGAAACCCATTCTATCAGAAATTCAGGCTGGCAGGAGAACATCTGCCCAGCAGCTGGTGCTTCATGCTGAGCTACTTTCTCCTCATCATCCACTTGACAAACACTTTGCTTCGAGCATCCGCCTAAAACTTTTCCTTTCCTTTTATAATTAAAGAGTGAGGTAAAGCAAAGGAGAGAAAGACATTCTTTACACACACAAACACACACACACACACACGTGTTTGTCCCCTCCACAGGAGCAGTGGGAGGGGATCATCCCCTCGAGCATCCGCCTAAAACTTTTCCTTTCCTTTTATAATTAAAGAGTGAGGTAAAGCAAAGGAGAGAAAGACATTCTTTACACACAAACACACACACACACACACACACGTGTTTGTCCCCTCCACAGCAGCAGTGGGAGGGGAGCATCCTGCATAAAAAGCCTTTTGTACACCCAACGTTTGCAATCATGGATGGGAAGAGCCAGAAGTGTCTCTTTTTACACCGATGACATTTAAAGTTCCGCAAAACCACGCGGAAATATACAACTACCACCCAAAGAGTATCAGAAACACATGAAAACTCCTGCCTTTTAGCAAGACAGCACAAATTAGGACGTGCTACTGTGACCCAGAACCCTGAGACCATCCCTCCCCCTCTCAAGAGCCAGCGATCGGGTCCAGGCAGGTTTGTGGTGCTGCTGAAGTCCAAAAGCAAGGAGTCAAACAGCTCCTGTTCAGTTTCAATTCTCTTTATCCAAACATCACTTTGGTCACCTACCACAAAAAACACTTACCTTGTTGCCCTGAGTCTCTTTTATCTTGGAAATATTGCAAATAAAGGTTGGATGCAGAAACAAGGCACTGACCCAATTTTTGTATCAACGAAAGCCCTCCCTTGTACCAGGCCACGCTGATAAACACCCCATGGGGGAAAACCATCCTACACGAGGGCAAGCGTTGGGTGCTGCACCTGGGGAGGAACAACCCCCTGCACCAGGACAGGGTGGGGGTGACCTGCTGGAGAGCAGCTCTGAGGAGAAAGACCTGGGAGTCCTGGTGGACAACAGGATGCCCATGAGCCAGCAATGGGCCCTCGTGGCCAAGAAGGCCGATGGCATCCTGGGGGGCATCAAGAAGAGTGTGAGCAGAAGGTGGAGGAGGGGGGGCCCCATCTGGAGGACTGGGTCCAGTTCTGGGCTCCCCAGTTCAAGCAGGACAGGGAACTGCTGGAGAGGGGACAGCAGAGGCTGCAAAGATGATGAGAGGCCTGGAGCATCTCTCTGATGAGGAAAGGCTGAGGGTCTTTTTAGTCTGGAGAAGACTAAGGGGGGATCAATGCTTTTAAATACTTAAAAGGAGGGTGTTAGGAGGATGGGGCCAGGCTTTTTTCAGTGGTGCCCAGGGACAGGACAAGAGGAAATGGGCACAAACTTGAACATAAGAAGTTCCACCTAAACATGAGGAGGAACTTCTTTCCTGTGAGGGTGGCAGAGCCCTGGAAGAGGCTGCCCAGAGAGGTGGTGGAGTCTCCTTCTCTGGAGACATTCAAACCCCTCCTGGACACGTTCCTGTGGGACCTGCTCTGGGTGGCCCTGCTTTGGCAGGGGGTTGGAGGAGATGATCTCCAGAGGTCCCTTCCAACCCCACAGCATTCTGTGATGCTGTGATCCAACATGTGCATCCCAGGAAAGCAGCCAAGTGTGTGCCCTTATGGGTAAGGGCCGTGGCATACCCGTGCAGAATTCTTTGTTAGCATTTTGGGGTACCACAATCCTTCTGTAGACTATGGGCTCCGACTCCAAGATGTTCTCATCGTGCCGGTAACGAGCTGGTTTCTCATTGGGGGTGCCCCGGGACCGAGTGCCGCTCCTCCGCTCGTACGTTTCAATCTCTTCGAACACGGCCGCTTTGTCAAAAAGGGCCAGGTTCCCCTCAAAATCAAAATCCGTGTCGGGGATTTCATCGATGTCGTCCCCAAAACACTCATCATCTTTGCTCTTCATCTGCCCGTTTTTCAAGCCGCTCTTTTTCGGAGTCACTTGGTTGGGGTGACGGCTGCTGGATGACCCTAGACAAAAATAAAAAAAGGAGGTTGAAAGCGTGTCATAAATGGGGAAAAAAAAAATAAGAATAATAAAAAAAGGCATTTTCTCACACATTTTCCCTGGAAATTTTATAAGAGAGATGAACTCATGCTTGCAATCCACTGACTCAAGGGATACTCGCTGCAGATCTCAGTTTTGGCATACTCACAGTCATGTAAACTAAAAAAAAATACAACTCGAGCATCAGGAGAGACTTTCCATTGGCGAGGTTAGAAAAACAAGCTTGACCCCAGCAGCAAAATAAGTGTTTCTTCACATTTCATTTCATTCAAGGTAGCATCACATTATCACATTATCACTAAGATAATAAGCTAACCATGATCTAAGACAATCTTCCTCCTGTACTGAGCTCATGTTGATACAGGCATGTGGCCCAAGACCGTCTTTGGAATTTCCCTAAATTTCAGAGACTAATGTAGGTGTTTTCTTCCGTAACGGGCTGGTCACCTATTAATGATCTTTAAGGGAACCCTGAATATAAAGCATTTCTTTTTCTTGCACTTGTTATCAATAGGTACGCATTTCTGTACCGATATGAAGTTCTTTCCCTTATTTTTATTGCACTATTCTACTTATTCACTGGCTTGCACATATAAATACACTTCTTCCCAATCACAAGTAATTGTGGAAATTGAATTTCTCCAGAGTGGAACAATCAAAGCCTCCTCATTCCCAATGTATGGCTGGAGATCAAGGACTGATACAAAACCATATACAATCACAAGGTCAACATATCCCTCTACTTGCTTTTTTCTTACATTATTATTCAGGTCACCTGTACAAACACACGTCCTGACAACATTCATCTGTTTGTTATACTCATTGTTAAATTACTAGAAAACATTTCAGGCCAATTCCAGCAATTCCAGGTATTCCCTACAGCATCCAACAGATGGAGTAAGAGTTATCACACCAAAACTGCTGGTTCATTAAATATCTCTCAGAGTTTAAGACATCACCTTTGCGAGCAATTTATGCAAATGAGTTTATTGACAGAATCCGTTTGATAACATAGAAACAACTTACCACGATGACGTGTGCTCCTTATATACCTCCTCCCTAAATGAAAAAGCAGGTTTTTTCCCCTCTTTACACATTAGACAGAAGACAGGAAGAATTTCCAGTCATCTAAAAATGTTTAGAAAACATCCCAAAAGGTTTTGCTTCCCTTGAAGTTACTTGTCACCTTCAGAAGTGGCAAATCCCTCCTTCTCCCTACCTGGAAAGGCTAATTTGTAAGCTGGGGTCAGGCTGCCTAACAAACCCGAGCTCTAACTTCCCACATTTCCCACTTGTGAAATCCTCCTCCTTCTCCTAGAAAGCCAAGCACCCTCCCCCTGAAGTTTCTTCATTCACTTCAGAATCAGGACAGGAACTGGCACGTTTTAGACCAACCCGTTGATTTCGACCGAGTTAATAAACACAACTCATCCCTCTCTCCCTCTCTCTCCAGCAAAGTTATTCAGTAGCTCAATTACACAACTTAAATTGCAGCCGTTAACTCCACGACACCCTTATGATGACCTGAAGCCTTTATAGAAAGCTCTATAAAACCAGAGCAGAGCAGAGAGGGTTTTCCTGGAAGACACAAGGCAGATTGCCTGGAGTTCTCAGGGCTTCGCAAGGACTTTGTCAGCTCTGGCAATGGCAAATTCACAGAATCACAGAATCTTAGTGGTTGGAAGGGACCTCTGAGATCATCGAGTCCAACCACAAAAAAACCAAAAAAACCCACAAAAAAACCAAAAAAACCCCAAACAAATACAAAACACCCCACACCAAACGCCCACCAAAAACACCGCACCCACCAACTAAACCCCACACTCAACACCTCACCATAAACCAATAACCTTGGGCACTAGAGCATGCCCTGAAGAGCCATGTCTATACGTTTCTTAAATCCCTCCAGGGATGGTGACTCCACCACCTCCCTGGGCAGGCTGTTCCAGGGCCTGACCACTCTCTCAGTAAAGTAGTTCTTTCTAATATCTAATCTAAATCTCCCCTGCCCCAACTTGAGACCATTTCCTCTGGTCTTGTCGTTCGTCCTTTGGGAGAAGAGGCCAACACCTGCCTCTCTACAACCTCCTTTCAGGTAGTTGTAGAGGGCAATGAGGTCTCCCCTCAGCCTCCTCTTCTCCAAACTAAACATGCCCAGTTCCCTCAGCCTCTCCTCATAGGACTTGTTCTCCAGGCCCCTCACCAGCTTCATTCACATTCGTTTGTGTGTTCGATAATTAGCTCAGTCTAACACTGTGTCTAACTTAGGCCATGCTGAAAGCTGGCTCACTAAGGATATGTATTTGGGTTTTATTCTCAGTGAAGAATGCATTGTCTCAGCAAGGACTTCCCCCCATATTTCAGACTGTGTGTCACTTGTTTTTTCTAGACAACCGTTTAAGTGACTAATTGACAGCTTTCCCTTGTTCTCCAGGCCCCTCACCAGCTTCATTCACATTCGTTTGTGTGTTCGATAATTAGCTCAGTCTAACACTGTGTCTAACTTAGGCCATATAGAAAGCTCTATAAAACCAGAGCAGAGCACAGAGGGTTTTCCTGGAAGACACAAGGCAGGTTTGCCTGGAGTTCTCAGGGCTTTGCAAGGACTTTCTCAGCTCTGGTAAATTCATTTATATTCATTTGTGTGTTCGATAATTAGCTCATCTAACACTGTGTCTAACTTAGGCCACGCTGAAAGCTGGCTCACTAAGGATATGTATTTGGGTTTTATTCTCAGTGAAGAATGCATTGTCTCAGCAAGGACTTCCCCCCATATTTTAGATCGTGTGTCACTTGTTTTTTCTAGACACCCGTTTAAGTGACTAATTGACAGCCTTCCCAGCCCCCACAGCGAGGGAGCTCTTTGAAACACTCAGCAGCTCCTACTCCGGTGTCTTAAGAATTAAAGAAAACAGACCTGAACACACTAAAACACTCCCAAAGCTGCTGCAGCTCCAATCTCTGAGTGGGCTGTAATTCACAAGTCTGGCAACAGCAAAAAGCGCACAAGAAGTCAGAGACTGGCATTTCCCACCTTGAAACAGCAGGGTAAGAGCCCAAATCTTCAAGGTTTTGTGGAATCATCATGCAAAACCTCCCCAAAATTACTCCTAACGAGAGCAGTTTGTTATTCTGGTGGGGTTTTTGTTTTAAAAGTGAGCTTGAGTGCTCTAGTTACACCAGTTTCAAACCAGTTTTGCCCGAGCATCCCTTGCAAGCGCCGAAAAGATGGAGAGAATCAACTTCCCCCAGCTTTATCACCTGGGCCAACAAAAGATGTTGGCTTTTCCCTTTCTTCCCCAAAACCATTACAGCTACAGCAATGCTATGTTAATTAAAACATCTTAAAGGGCACCTACAAAGTTAGACAGCTCATCATTTCAGTCTCTGGCAGCACCACAGCCACCCTGTGTATCAGGTTTACTCGAATCCACCGACCGCAGCCACAAAGCCACTCACCTCTTCAAAACAGCAGCAGCGGCGCAACGTGAAATAGTTCTATTTTGCATGTACCAAAGCAACTGAAAGTGGCCATAAAGAGCTGTGTGGTCAGCGTCACCACACTTTGACAATACCCTCTATTTATAGCCTCTCTATTTCTAATATTTTCAAATCGCTCCGAACTAGAGCAGGGAGTTCATTCTCCGACGCAGTGATTTTCAGAGAATGATACGGGGTTGGAAGGGACCTCTGGAAATCATCTCCTCCAACCCTCTGCCAAAGCAGGGCCACCCAGAGCAGGTCCTACAGGAACGTGTCCAGGTGGGGTTTGAATGTCTCCAGAGAAGGAGACTCCACCACCTCCCTGGGCAGCCTCTTCCAGGGCTCTGACACCCTCACAGGAAAGAAGTTTCTCCTCATCTTGAGGTGGAACTTCTGATGTTCAAGTTTGTGCCCATTTCCTCTTGTCCTGCCCCTGGGCACCACTGAAAAAAAAGCCTGGCCCCATCCTCCTGACACCCACCCTTTAAGTATTTATAGACATTGATCAGATCCCCCCTCAGCCTTCTCTTCTCCAGACTAAAAAGTCCCAAGTCCCTCAGCTTCTCCTCCCAAGAGAGATGCTCCAGGCCCCTCATCATCTCTGTAACCTCTGCTGTCCCCTCTCCAGCAGTTCCCAATCCTGCTTGAACTGGGGAGCCCAGAACTGGACCCAGCTTTCGAGCTGCTGGAGACATCAAGGAGTTTTTATGAAGTGGGTGAGAACCAACTACTGGTTGGCAACTTTTGCCAAGAAGCCAGGAAAGGGCAGCTGGTAGAATTCCAGAATTGCTGTTGATAAAACATGATATAAGAGAAAAAAGGCCAGGCTTTCCACCAAGGAGAATTCCAGTGTACAAGCTACGACCAGTCATTTATACACATAGTTTTGTGAGGCAGCAGTTCCCAATCCTGCTTGAACTGGGGAGCCCAGAACTGGACCCAGCTTTCGAGCTGCTGGAGACATCAAGGAGTTTTTATGAAGTGGGTGAGAACCAACTACTGGTTGGCAACTTTTGCCAAGAAGCCAGGAAAGGGCAGCTGGTAGAATTCCAGAATTGCTGTTGATAAAACATGATATAAGAGAGAAAAAAGGCCAGGCTTTCCACCAAGGAGAATTCCAGTGTACAAGCTACAACCAGACATTTATACACATAGTTTCATGAGAAAGGGAAAGCTTTTTACTAACACACAACTTTCCTTCTCTGCCCTAGGGGGAATCCCAACCAAAGGTGATGTATAAACCACTCCAAAGTTGGACACAGCTTGGGATGGAGCCGGCAACTGCCACCACTGACAAGGGAACTGCATCCAATGGCTGGACAAGAAATGAAACCCCAGACCAAGGCAACAGGCTGAGCTCTCCAAGCCTTCCCAAACTCCAGGTGGAAGCAACAGAATCATAGAATCATAGAATTGCCCAGGCCAGAAGGGACCTCCAAAGGCCATCTAGTCCCACCTCCCCGCAGTCAGCAGGGACACC